AAAATGGTTTTTACATTTAAAAAATACAAGACGGGGACCGGAGATTTAGCTCAGTGGCACCATGCCTTCCTCGCAAGCACAAGGTCCTGAGTTTGATCCCCACTACCAAAAAAAAACAAGAAATGGTGGGGAGGAAGATTGAGGTCAGTGGTAGGTTGCCTATCCATACACAAAGCCCTGGGGTTCCTCTCCAGCATAACAAAAAGGAATATGCAACAGAGGTTTTATATGTAGCCCACAAAGCCTAAAATCTTTTCTATCTTACCCTTTTTTTTTTTTTTTTTTTGGCACCGGGGATCGAACTCCGGTCCTTGTGCTTGCACAGCAAGTGGCGAAACCACTGAGCTAAATCCCAGGCCCCTATCTTACCCTTTAGAAATAATTTTTTTATTTCTTTCTACCACTCCTCCACCCCCATACCAGGGATCAAACTCAGGACCCTGTTCTTCAAGGCAGGCACATTGTCACTGAGCTAAATCCCCAGCCTTTGATTTCTGATGTAGAGGAAGGTGTAACAAAGGATTGCTGTGCCATACCAACTTTATTGTTGAACTGACTTACAAAATAAAATAGGGGTGGGGGCATTTAAATGCTGATTTAGGAAGCTAAGAAACCAAAGTTAAGGCTAGAACAATCCCAGGAATAACTGAATGGAAACAGAAGAGTCAGGAGCAACTTTTTAGAGCAGGTGTTTTTTGTTATTTGCCTTGATGTCTGGTACATACATAACATACAGATAAGGAAAAATTTAATGTATCCCATAATTGAGTATTTTTTCTATAAATCTATTTCTAGGTCACTAACCTTAATATTCTGTGGTATCAGATAAACCTATGTGTATATGTACATTCTTCTGTTTTTATGTTTCTTTTCACTCCCACCCCATGACAGGGCTAAATGTGCAGTATTTATCTATAGGGTGTGTAGGGGAAAGAGCCAATGATCAAATCTTTTTTAGATAACTAAATATAACACATCACTGAATTTTCATTAATTTGTAGTAGGAATCACATTAAATTAAAAAATGTTCTTAATTGAGCCAGCCAGCCTGGCCATCATCAGGCAAGCTAATCAAGGACTGGAATTTGGTATTTCAAACCAAATCAGAGAGTCAGATATCCAAGAGGATCTTTGTCTCTTGATGACAGGAAAGATAAACATTCTCTTTTAGCTTCCAGGACCTTAAATATTTAGAGCCTATGTGATGTCAGTAGATGGGTCAGTAGATGAAATGTGATGGCAGTAGATGAGCCACAGTTGTGATGTAATTTACATACCATAAAAAAGCCAAAGAGAACACTGGCCTGGGAACTAGGTAGCTTGTTAATAAATGTGGCTGACCATGTATGATACAAAGTTATTTACTTTGTAAAAATTCTTGTGATCTTCCTGCTTCAGCCTCCTAGCAGGCTAGTGTTATGGGTGTGTACCACCATGCCTGGCTAAGATTTGTATTTTCAGTGGTTACATAAATTGTTCAGCGTGATTCATATTAATCTTGAGATCATATACAGATAGTTTTAAAAACATTGATTGTAATTTTCCCTGTGCACCCTATTTTTGTTCTGCTTTTGTTCTCTTACAGTATCTAGTTTGCCTTTAAACTTGCAGTTAATTTTATCTTTACTCCAAAGTTTCTCTCATGATGAGAATACCTAATGTAGTATTGTGTTCCTCTTTAGTCACGAATAGCTCATTTAACTCCTACCTATGCAATATTTTATTATGTAAATACTTTCATAAACTTTTGTTACCTTATTTACTCTCTACTAGAAGAATTTTCATTCTCTTGTCTATTCATTTGTTAATGTTACATCACTGCAAGTAAATTGTAGAAATCATTTACCCCCTTCTATATCCTTTGTTATTTTTGTCCTATGTATTACATAGACTTATAAATGCATAATTCAGTGTTACAATTTTTGGTTTAAAAAATGAGTAAAGGCTCTGGAATGACATTTCTCCAAAGAAGATACATAAATGACTAAGAAGCAAATGAAAAGATGTTCAATATCATTATAGTGATTATGAACTTTGAAAATACTTTAAGTGAAACAAGTCAATCACAAAAGACCACATATGATTCCATTCATATGAAATGAACAAATCTTTAGAGACAGAAAGTAGATTGTTTCTTAGGGGTAGGAGGTGGGTAAGGAGATAGGAGAATGATAGGTAAAGATGGCACAGGAATTTTCTTTTCTTCTTTTTTTTTCTGGAGAAAGTTTTTATTGTAAACTACTTAAGATTTTCTGTTAAGGAAAAAGTTTGAAAATGTGATGGTTGTGCATATCTGTGAATGTAGTAACAATCATTGAATTGTGTGGACTATGAATTTTATCTTAATAAAATTGTTAGAATGTAGCTATTTATACCTAATGATCAAAATCAGAGGGCTCACAGATAAGTAGAGATTTGGGAGAAAAAATTATATTTAAGCAGGACCTGCAGGGGTCTATTTCACCCGTTACAGTAAGTAGTAATCCACTAACACTTCAATTTGATATATCATTAATTCTTCTCAGGATTCATTTAGTAGGGCATAGCTGATGAGCTGCAGAATATTTTTTGATTGGCTATTTATTTATTTATTTATTTGGTACCTGGGATTGAACTCAGGACCTTGTGCTTTCGAGGCAGGCATGGTGCCACTGAGCTAAATCCCTGGTCCAGTAGTTCTGTTAATTTTTTTTTTTTGTACCAGAGATTGAACTCAGAACCTTGTATTTGCGAGGTAGGTGGCAGCACCACTGAGCTAAATCCCAGGCCCCTTACCTTTTTTTTTTCTTTCTTTCTTTTTTTTTCTTTTTTTTTTTGTTACTGGGGATCATACTCAGGTCTTTGCACTTGTAAGTGAGGCAGTGGAACCACTGAGCTAAATCCCCAGCCCCCTTTACCTTTTTTTAAAAACAGTAATAGACTGAACCCATTGCCTTCACACTGGGCTATATCTCCAGCACTTTTATATTTTTGAGGCAGGGTCTTGCTAAATTGCCCAGGCTAGGCTAGAATTTGTGATCCTCCTACCTGAGCCTCCAGTGTAGAGACACTACCACATTCAGTTAGGTATTACCTTTCTAATTTTGGTTTTCTAAGAGTTTGGCCTTCTAGGCAATTGAATATATTTAGAATTCGGCCCTTCCTGCATTTTCAGCAGTTATTGAAAGTTTATATGTGGTTTTTTTTCCCCTTTGACTTAAAAAATATATGAAGAATTATGAAATTTTTAGATGGATTAATATCATTTTTATATATTTATTTATTTATTTGGTACCGGGGATTGAACTCAGGTCCTTGCGCTTGGGAGACAGGTGATGGAACCACTGAGTAAATCCCCGACCCCATTTTTATTTATTTTGCACTGTTAGGGATTGAACCCAGGGCCTCACACATGATAGGCAAAAGGTCTACCACTGAGCTACTTCCCTAACCCATAAAATGTTTTCCTAGTATCAAAATCTTTTACATTCCTGTGATTGTATATTTTATCCAAACGATCTTCTCATGTCCAATAAAATTTGGTTTGTTGGGCCCGGGATTTAGCTCAGTGGTGCCACTGCCTGCCTTGCAAGCGCAAGGGCCTGAGTTTCATCCCTGGTACCCCCCCCCCCAAATTTGGTTTGTTAATATTAAAGTCTTCTTGTCTATTTTTATAACTTTCCACTTTGTGCTGTTTCTGAGGTTTTGGCTACAAGGTTATACTACCTTCATAAAATTAATGAGATAGCTTTCTTTTTTTTTTCTCCCTGTGTCCTGAAAAGTTCTCCTGGTAAAGCTTTTTTTTCTGTTGAAGGCTATTTTAAAGGTAATTCATTGCTATTCTTTTTAATCTGTCACCATTTCTTCTTTACATCAGTTTTAGTAATGCATTTTTTCCTAGAAAATTGTCCATTTCATTGAGATTTCAAATTTATTAGTGTAGACTAGTATGTGACCAATCTTACTTTGTCTCTGTTTGTATTACTACTCAAATTTCTGTATTTTCCTCTTAACTGGGTTACTCAAAGACAAACATGCTTTTTGCTTTCTAAAATACCAGCTCCTGGATAATTTTATGAGTTTTGCTGTAGAGTAATATTGGTCAACTTTTATGTTTCTGGGGCAAAATGCTTGACATGTATATCCTGAAAGAGAAAAGATTTATTTTGCTTCACAGTTTCAGTACATGATCTTCTGGCTCCAAGGCAGATACATCATAGTAGAAGAGTATGGTGGAGGAAAGCTGCCCAGGAGAGAAAGAGAAAAAGGGCCAGAGAAGTGGGGAAGGGACCCCAGACAAGAACACTCTTCTAGCTTAACTCCAAACAGGTCACACATCAAAAACAGCGCCTTCAGGGCCGGGGATTTAGCTTAGTGGCACCGAGCCTGCCTCGCAAGTGCAAGATCCTGAGTTTGGTCCCCAGTATCCACATCCCACCCCCCACCCCCCGCCAAAAAAAACAGCACTTCAGCTATGAACTCATTAATAGATTAAATTCACTGAGGAAGTTATAGTTTTCCTGTGATCCAGGCACCTTCTGACAGCCCCACCTCTGAACACATGAACCTTTTGGGGGGGTATTTTAGATGAAACCATAATAATAGTTATTTTTAAATTTCATTTTTGTATTGTTTATTTTTTAAAATAAATTTTATTGTATATATTTGAAGTTTACAACTCACATATATGGGATACCTATAGATAGTAAAATGGTAACTGAAGTAAATTAACATACCTGCTATCTTACATAGTTACTTTTTTTGTTTGATAAGAATAGCTAAAACCAACTTACTTAACAAAAGTCCCTAATACAATTTTAACTTTAGTTTGCTAGCTCTAAAGACTTTAGATCTTTAGACTTGTTCATCTTACATATCTGCTATTTTGTGTGCTTTGGCTCACATATTCCTATTTCCTGTAACTATAAGCAGTTTTGGAGTCCTTTTTATTTTCAAAGAACTGATTGTGCAGGCATAATCTATTTATTTTTACAGTGGTCCTTTCTTTGTTCTTTTTTTAGGCACGAGATGTACGTACCAATGAAGTGGTGGCCATCAAGAAAATGTCTTACAGTGGAAAGCAGTCTACCGAAGTAGGTTAAATATATACATTTTTATAAGCATATAGAGAAAGACAATATCATTTTAAATTGAGATAAAGAGTAGGAATTTTAATGTTTAATATACATAAAACTATATAAATATTACATATATTCAGTGAATTTTCTGTCAGTGATAGTAGCCTAACTAAAGCCTAAACAAAAAATTAGAAACATCCCCAAAACCTCCTCAGTTGTGTCCCCAGTTTTAGTTTTTCTAAACTATGGGTTAATATATCATTGTATGGCTATCTTGGAGGAATTATTAGTTTCTTAAAAAGTAAATACAATAAGATGTACTTCATAGTAAATTATATGGGATATAATCTTTTAAAAGGGTTTAGAAATTGTTTGATAGTTGGGTTTTTTTGGTTTTTTTCTACCAGAGATTGAACTCAGGACCTTGCACTTGCAAGGCAGGCATCGGAACCACTGAGCTAAATCCCTGGCCCCTGATAGTTGTTTTAAACGGTCTTTAATTAACAGGTCATTAATTTGAAAAACCTAAAAGTGAAATGCTACATTTAGATTATATTTATTCTGCTTAATTACATAAATATATTTGTAAAATGTAATCTACTTATTAATCTTGGATTCTGACAGTCTTTAACTTATCTTTTTATTTTTAATTATGGTAAAAATACAACAAAGTTTACCATCTTTTAAACATTTTTAGGTATGGTAGACCCTTGACTTACAAACTGAATTCATTCGCTAGGGCTGGTTGGAACTCAAGTTGGTCAATTGAAGTCTTGGGCTCCTCTACACAGCCTTCAAAGTCTCTCTCCTTTATACAGGCAGATCTCAGTGTCCTTACAGAAATACTGGCCCAGGATTTCTTAATTGACCCCACACAGGAAAGGAAGTTGTAATGTTCCTTCCAGAACTCTTTAAGGGTTAAATCTGTATCTGAGATCATCTGGAAACACAAGTGGCCGGCATTTGAGTTATAACTCAAGACTTTGTTCATAAGTTAAAACTAAATTCTAGTCCTAGTGCAAGTTGTTTGTATGTCAGGCCAGTTGTAACTTGAGGGTCCACTGTATATAGTTCAGTAGCATTAAGTACATTCACATTTTTTTGCCACTATTACCACCATCCTGCTCCAGAATGCTTTTCATCTTGCAGAACTGAAATTCTGTACTCATTAAACAAAAATGCCCCACCCCCTAGCAACCACCGTTCTACTTTGTTTCTATTATGAATTTGACTACCTTAGGTACTTCATATAAGTAGATCCATTCCATATTTGTCCTTTTGTGACTGGCTTATATCATACAGTTTAATGTCCTGAAACTTTATCCATGTTGTACCATGTGATAGACTTTTCTTTCTTTTCTATCCGTTCACACACTCATACCTCACATTTATATTCATACCATCTATAAATGTGCACTTGGGTTACCCATTTGGGTGGCTGTTGTGAATAATGATGCTGTGATTACAACTGTACAGGTATTTCTTTAAGTTCCTGCTTTCAGTTCTTTTGAATATATGTTCAGAGGTGAAATTGCTGCTTTTCTTTTAAATATTTTATTTTCCTAATTTTTGAATTTAATTTTATATTGAATCTAGTTCTTGTGGTGATTATACTATGGGTATGATACTATTACAATTATATCATTTTCCATCATTTTAATATTTTAAAACTAACATTTCTTGTAGATTTAATTTTATTCACTATTGTATAAACAACTTTAGGACTAGTTTTCACAGGCTACCAATTATATTATGTAGAAAGTCTGATCAGTCACACCTAGACAAAAACATATTTACAGTATCATTTTTAACATCTAATATTGGTATCCTTCATGAAATTTTTTTTCATAGATTACAATTTTTCTTAAGATTTTGCCTCCCAAAGTACTCAAATTTGAAATTTAAAGGCCAGTAGAACAGATTTTCTGAATTTAGCATTTTATATCTTACACATTTTATATAAAACACTGTGAACATATTTTGACGTTTGAAAACTTTGAAATAATATCAAAATTATAGGTTTTTAAATGTAATGCAAAACATTAAAAAAAATTTTCTAATACACTATCCCTACCCTTAATTATATAGCCTAAATAACAGTAAAATTTTAAAAAAAATTAAAACAAGAGCATAAAACAATTTGGTAGTCCCCATCCTACACCTACCAAACCTTTAGAATTTCTGGTTATGAGAAGAGACCTAGAATAGCAAGAGCAATTCTAGGCAACAGAGACATGGCAGGGGGTATCACAATCCCCAACTTGAAACTATACTACAAAGCTACTGTAATGATACTGGCAAGAAAACAGACCCGAGGATCAGTTAAATAGATTAGAAGATGCAGAAACAACTCCAGACATACTCAGCCACCTCATCTTTGACAAAGGAGCCAGCCACCCTTATTGGAGGAAAGATAGCCTATTTAATAGATGATGTTGGAAAAACTGGATTTCAACCTGCCAAAGATTAAAACTAGACCCATACCTCTCACCATGCACTAAATTAAGATCGAAGTGGATTAATGATCTTAATATCAAGACAGAAACACTAAAGTTGCTGGAAGATAAGTTAGTTAGAACTGTTAAAGACATTGGCATAGGAAAGGACTTTATGAACAAAACTTCAGTAGCACGGGAACTAGCACAAAGAATCAACAACTAGGATCTCATTAAAAATCTTCTGCACTGCAAGAGAAACCACCAACAGAGCTAAGAGACAGCCTACAATGTGGGAAAAAATTTTTAGCAGCTGTACCTCAGACAAAGAACTACTATCTAGAATATATAAAGAACTGAAAAAAATCAGACGCCCCAAATTCGAAGACCCAGTTCAAAATGGGCATCTGAAATGAACAGACATTTCTCAGACAAAGAAGTAGAAGCACCAAATAAACATATGAAAAAATGTTCACCATCACTGGTCATTCGAGAGATGCAGATGAAAACAATGCTGAGATTCCACCTCACCCCAGAAAGAATGGCTGCTATCAAGAAATCAACCAATAACAAATATTGGCGGGGCTGTGGGGAAAAAGGAACCCTTCT